GAAGAGGCTTGGCTGCAAGCTGCGGAGCGGGAAAGCTGCAAGTAGGGGCAGTTAGCGAAACTGAGGACACACGCACAAGAACCACCTACACAGGACGGGCAGCAGAGAATGCCACCATGTGGCAAGTACCGGGATGGGCCGGCAGCCATGGAAAGGGGAAGCTGCGGGAGAAAACCAAGAATATCAGCAGGAGGCCGACAGGAAAGCCTGGTCCAAGAGAGAAGCACGACAGACTATGTGGTGTTCAGCTCCGAAGGCGGAAACCCTGCAGGAGCAGAGGACAAATGCTGGGGGAAAGTCCGTAGCAAAATGGGAAGGAAGGAAGGACAACGAGGGCACTGTCACCCTGCAGCGGAGGGGAAGAGAGGGGGCGCTGGGGGTGCTCGTCGGGCTAGCGGAGCCCTTAGTGCCGCACCAGGGGTCCCCCAGCGCAGGGGTAACCCCCCCTCCCCCAAGAGAAACCGCAGCAGGCCCTGGTGCATATAGGGATTCTATTCCCTTTTAACTTCTTCCCTACACCCTAAACGTCTTAAACCAGTTAGTTGACGCAGCTTTGACTCAGGTTATTGTTTATGACCTCGTTTCGGTCCCACTGCAGGCGCGAGCAATCCTGGAACTATTCTTACTAGTATTGCTATTAGTATCCTTTTAACGAGTATTGTTACGTGTATCATTATTAGTATCATGACGAATGTTACTATTAGTACTGCGATTCTTACCACTAGTATTAGTATTACAGTGATTTATTAGTGTTACTATTGCTACTTATATAGTGGTGTTTGTAAGGAGAGGAGGAGAGATTACAGGGCCAGTCTTCAATCCTACCCCTCAAAAGTCTTGCGTGGTCACCGCCCTCAAAATGGCTGGAGCACGAATGGGGTTTAGGGTTTTAGGGTTTAGGGTTTTAGTTTAAGGGTTTAGGGCTTAGGACTTCCCAGGGTTTCGAGAAATTGCGCTGGAAGTGGCCGTGGGAGAGCGAGTGTGTGCAGGCATCTGTGCCCTGCGGAAGGTCACAAGGGTAGTTGCCAAGATTAGGGTCCCATTTAGGTCCCCTTGAATATTCGGTGCCTTGTTATAATCTATAACTGAAAATGGCCATAGTTTTGAGAACACCCCGCAATGCAGTTATCATTTGTATCCACTCCCCGTGTGGTTTGGTAGCTTTAGGCGGAGGGCTGAGAGCTATGTACATATGTCTGCAGCCGCCCATGTAGCGCAGTCTTGGCCTTGCCACACTCGTTTGTGGTCTAGGTTGGAGGTCAATGCGGTTGGTGCTGCATCTGTTGCTGTTGGAGGATACATAGATTTCGTGCTAGTTTCATGTTTGCTTCGTATCTGGGGGAGTACGCGTACGCAGTGTACGGGTTCAAGGAGACTAGCTGCCGCGGCGTCTGCGGCTGCTTTTTCTGTTGCCCCAAACCCTATAAACCCTAAATGTGCAGGGGCAGCCACGATTGTTGACCAAGCAAGGGAAATATAGGGGGAATATAGGGGTTATATTGGGACAATGGAAAAGAAAATGGAAACTACTAGTATCTTGGGGTATATATTAGGGTTATATTAGGGTGATATTAAGATTGCTAATGTGCTGAACCGGAGAGTTGCTCTTTCGCAAACATGCTTTCCAATGTTCACACGAGCTATAGTCTAAACTCCTTCAAGGAGGTTGTATAAGGGGATTATATAGGGGAGTATTATTAAGGCTTAAGGGGGATACTAGGAGTTTATACTATAGCTCACATAACGTTCCCTAAGCTCTAAACCTTGAACCGTCATGCTGACATTTATGCGGTTTATGTTGGGTCTCTGGAGGGCAAGAATGCCAACATGCCAACATGCCAACAGTTGAGCAGATGGTGGTTCTGGGGTTCACATGAGTGGTATTTCATTTGGGGATACTATGATACCCCCCAAAATAGAGTAAGATTACATCCTCCTTTTTGGGTATAGTATTTCATCTACAGAAGACATTGATGCTTGGTTCAACCATCGTAAAGGCACCACTCACACGCAGGCTAAACGTTGGACACTTGGGGATAGCGTGCGGAGAATGGCTTCGAATGGCGAGTGCGGACGACTGTATACCATATTTACGTGTGCACAGATATGTGTACATATATGTATGTAGGTGTGGGTGTACAAAAATACAAGTAGATGCACAACCATGACATGTCTGTCGAATTCGCCCTAAACCCAAAATCCTCT